ATCATTTAATATTTTGTAGCAATTGAAGGATATGTCCTCTAAATTGAAGAAAGATCCAGAATACAGTACTCATCAGGGAGAGCTTGAGTATAATCGCCCTAAAAACCGATATAAAGATATTGTGCCATGTAAGTATTGATTCAGTTGTTTTCATTAGTTTTCAAATGTCTTCTAGTTTTAAAAATTTTGTATGAGATATTGCTCTGTTCTAAGTTTACCTTCAAAAACCCAAAGAATGATTAGCATCTAATTTCTCCTTACAATATCACCCCTAGATCAAACATGAAGGTCACAAGAGTGAAGAAAATGATCACCAACTAAATATGGTCTTGATCATTAAACAAATTCTCTCTGTCAGAACCTTAGGAAATATTTAGAGAAAAGTATAGAGAATATGCATACTGATGTGAGGGTGTAAAGGATTGACAATGTACAACATGGTGGCTGGTTCTAGAAGATGAGATGTAACTTATGAAACTGCTCATTTAATTGTATGCTTTTGAAAATATAACCGCAAATCATAATTTCAAGGGTTATTGCACATGTCAAGTTATGCAAAACTATGTTTGCCTGGGCAAGTTTACAAAGTCTAAGCATTTATGTTTTGATTATTCAGTAGCGTTAGTTCTCCTATATGTAAAAATTTCCCAACCAGTGCAATATTTTGGGAGTAGATTTGAAAAAAAATGCAAGAAACAAAAAACCTTCATAAACTTTGTTGAGAATGATCAAACTTGAACCAAAACATGTAAATATACACTGCATGGATAATGATGTTTGTATGCAGTTGACATCTTTGTGGGCAGTTGATACTGATCTATCATGGCTGATAATTGTTGTTATTACACTTTTAGTTGACTATAATCGTATCACTCTTCCATCATTGGCTGGTAAACCTGGCTCAGACTACATCAATGGAAACTACATTAAGGTATAATATACAGTGTAAGAAAGAGTTAGAGACTTCATGCCCATGATGAGGATAATGACTTCACTGTTATCTGATTTGCAGTCAGTAGTGTAATTAAGGTAAATGAAAATTAACCCTTTAACTCCCATGAGTGACCAAGATAGAATTTCTCCTTACAATAACAATACAATATCAACCAGTTGAGTGATGAGAATAAAGAAAAATATCAATTTGGGGATAATAAGTTGATCCAATGCTAAATTCTCTGAACTAACATTGTAAGAATGATATGCTTGGCAGTAAGGAGAATTACAAATTTGATCTGGGAGTTAAAAGATTAAACAATTCAACCGAGAAAACAGGAAACAATGCAATACAACTGCAGGCTGTCACCACATTATGCAGGAAACATTTTTGAGTGACACTTTCTTTAAGCTACATGTGCAATGCATCAAAAGGGTTTCACTTTTGGCTCAGTTTCACAATAATTTAAAAACTAAATTGTTTCTGAGAAAATATTTAAACTTGAAAGTGAAAATATGTTTCAGCTGAAGGTTATTTACAAGTTGTGTTTTTGTCTCAAGTAACTGAAGAATGTTTGTGCAGTTACTGAGCATTTCCAACACAATTTCACCTTGTTTACTAGTTTTACTAAGCCATATAACCAAGGAAAAAAAAGGGAAATAAGAGAAAAGATAGGAAATAATGAAAAGAAATACCAAAATAAAGAAATAAAGAAATAAACTAATCAAGAAAGAGAAAAAAAAATCCTGTATCAAACTATAACGATGATTCAATATAAAACTATGTATCATCAGGGACCAGATGGGAAGACTCATTACCTGGCTCTACAAGGTCCTTTGCCAAGAACAGTTGATGATTTCTGGAGAGTGATAGCATCTCACAAATGCCAGGTAATACATTTTTTTAACTTGGCCGTTTCTTAAGTAAACTCCTTTCTATTAAGGCTCTTCAGATAACTAACAGTTAGATCAGGAGCTTGAGATATCTAACATCTAGAAACCAAGAGCAAAGAGACTAACCATGTTAGTTAAAAATCTTAGAACTGGTTGATGTTCAAAATCTTATCACAAGAAAGGTTCAAGGTTTTTTACTTTATTTTGTTTACAAATGCTTGGCTACTCACAAAATTGTCTGTCACAGAATAGTTAAAACTAAGTGTATTGAATAGTGTCCAGTCAGTTGGGGCATTTATATGATAGAACACTGGCAAATTATACTCAAAATATGCCATTTTAAAGTTGTGTATCTAGTTGCCAAGCCTTTGATTTGGAGTGAGGCTGAAGGTGACCTTGTGGGTATAGAGACCAGTAACTAGTTAGCATGATCACAAAGTAATTCACATTTGAAAATCGGCAAGGTATGTAAAATAACAAGGTCACCCTTAGCCTCACCCCTGTTCAAAAGCTTAACAACCAAGCACCCAACTGTGAAATGGAGTATTGTTAATTGTTTACATCTGTGCCTTGGTGGGTTCACTGAGAAGGAACCTTGGAGGAGAGTCTTACCCACTCAATGCTTTTTTTTTCCCATCGTCAATCTGAAGTAAAAGAAGTAAAAGATGATTTTAATTCTTGGAGTAATGACTGACACTTTATGTCAACTAATGTTTGAATCTATAGATTGTGATAATGGTATGCAGAGAAATTGAGATGGGGAAGGTGAGTGTTGATTCTTCTACAG